CTAGTAGCTTCTTGCTCCTAGTAGTAAGGCCAGGAGCCCCTAGTAGCTTCTTGTTCCTAGATACATATGGCACTGGTCGAGTGGTCAACCAGTCGTCCTGGTCTCGGGGTTTGGCTCCGCTGCCTGAGAGTGACCTCAGTCAGTACTTCGACAGGCATCCAAATCAGCCTGCACTCTGCTTGAGAGTGAGACTTTGTTTGCTTACACAATCCAAATGGAGGAGGCTATCGGAAGTAGGTTTCGGTTTAGACCTTCAGACCTTTATTTCCTTCTTTTCTGCCATAGCACTGAGTAGCTCTCTAGGTTTCAGACTTTCAAAACGTGCTAAGACTTGCTGAGGCAGAGCTTCTTGGTCAACAACAACTTGTAGAGGTACAGGCTGGCCTTAAGCAGGAAGCAGAGATGCCAAATTCTACATGACATGTGCTTTGCAGTTTTAGGAAGTTCCCAGATAGCAGTTCTTTGAAGCATGCCCTGCTCCGGAAATGCCCAATGTTCAAACAAGAATCCGTTGTGAAAGACCAACGGAGCGTCTTCATCATCAAGTCCGGCTTGACCGCGTTTTGCAATGATGGCACGTAAGTTTGCACCTGTGGTGTGCCACAGGCACGTGACTCAGTTTCCGTTCCCAGGAGTTTCAGGCAATCCTTCCTCGAGAGTGTGCCCCTTTGGTTCCGTTCGTAGCGTCCTTGTTCCTAGTAGTAAGGCCAGGAGCCCCTAGTAGCGTACTAGGAGCGATGCCAGGAGCCCCTAGAAGCATCTTGTTCCTAGCTCCAAAAAGCTGAACATAGAATATCTCGAAAGCGTTTGCTGACTGTCCTCGTCCTTGAATCAGTGCTTGTCCAACTGAGCGGACTCCACACCTGCAGCACAGTGCCCAGTTCTGGAATCGAAAGTCGAAACTGCAGAAATATATTTTGACATATTTACAGCATTATTGTCGCTAGTAGGTTGGAGGCCATCGCTAGTAGGTTTGCTTGGTGTCTCTCTGCAATATTGCTTGGCCAGGACACGCGAGAAGCTTTTTCTGATTAGCTGGCAAATGCAAAGAGTCCAAAAAGATTCTGCAATGTTGGTGCTCCTCGAAGTTTACAAACCTTGGGCAGCGGTCTGACCAGGGGAACTTGTTGGTCTGAGGGCAATGGAAGCAAGTCTATCCCATGCCTCAACGTTCTTCCAACAGTTTCATTTCATTCAACAAGATACGCTAGGCCAATGTTGGAGCTGGCATTCGTGGCCCATGGGACATACCTTGGCTGACATCAGGCCGCACCTGCCTGTAGATCTCAACCCTCGACCAAGGATCGGTCACAGCTTCAAGGGGATGCAGTTTCTTGCACAAGTCTCAGACTTGATGAATCTTCAACCAAATGAATCTCAGACTTTGGTCCCTAAAAATCTAGGAACCAAATGAGGAAGGGCATCGCTACTAGGAGCAAGACGCTACTAGGGGCTCCTGGCCATACTACTAGGAGCAAGGACGCTACTAGGAGCAGTGAGCAGACTTAAAACAAACAAAATGTGAAAATGTGAAGCCATTTCTTCACCGGGTGACACGAAGTCGTACACACGGCGCCCTTCGTGCGGTGGAAACTCGTCCCTCAGATGTACAAACACGACAAAAACTTTTCTTCGCAGTCTCTCTTCAAATCTTGAAAATCTGCCAAAACAAAGACAATCAGAAATCATTATAAATCATGATAAATCCCAGGGCAAGCAAAATGGCACGGAACAAGCCCTGAAACCAAAGATGGCTCTTTCCCCTAACCCTTTGAGTTGAAACCGACTACAATCTACTTGTCAGCCAAGCATCAACAAGGTCAAGATAGAAGTGTTCGTGATCTGCCGGTTCAACCCGCGCATGATCAGAGTTGTGGCACCATTGGCCTCAGCGACCATAAAGGATTGCAAAATGCCTTTGTGCCACCCTATTAGCGATGGCCTCCAACCTACTAACGGTGGCCTCCAACCTAACAACGATGGCCTCACACCTACTAGCAATGGCCTCCAACCTACTGGCGATGGCCTCCAACCTACCTACCAGCGATGGCCTCCAACCTAAAAGTGATGGCCTCCACTAAAAGCCTGTGGACGGCAGAAAATGACCCAGCGCCTGCAGCCGTTCAGGCTGCAAGTGTCTTCACATGTTGCAGCTCGTACAAGAAGCATGGCAATGCATGTATTCAGTCCAAGAAGCCAGAAGCTCTATTCTGACCTCCAGGTTCGAGAGTGACAAACACATCGAAAAAATTATCCGGCAAGAGACCCCAAACAGTGTGTGTGAGGTCTAGAGGTGTAGTAGCAGAAAGTCTAGAGATCTAAACGAGAATGAGAGTGAGAGTGAGAGAGTGAGGTCTGGAGGTGTAGTAGTGAGAGTGAGTGCGAGCGTGAGTGAGAGTGAGTGTGAGTGCGAGCGCAAGCGTGGGCGTGTGTGAGTGTGAGGAAACCTGCAACAAGCCTCATGTCCAAAAGTCACGACTCACTGCACCTGTCACGACATCAGAGCGCCTCGAAGATCGCAAAGTGCTGCGCCTGCCACGAACTCTGCAGTCCGAAGCACAACCGCTCCGATCCCTTGCACCTGTCACGAAAAGTCGACTTTGCACCACCAAAACACGAGGTTTCCCTGGCGCCTGCCCCGAAAAGTGACCATCATGTCCGAAAATGCACACTGCGCCACAATGAGAGCACAGTCGCAACAAGCGCCCGCTCCAGCCAACCAGATTTTGCGAGCCTGCGCAGTCGAAATGCACTTGGAGGATTTCGAGAGGAATGAGTGCACTGTAAGTAGCAGCGAATTAGCCACACGCGTCGGCGCAACACGTCGATTAGACACCGGCGCTTAACCACTACCGTAAGAACCCCTAGTGTAACCACACTGTTTGGTGAAAAAAGATATACAATGTACATTATATATATATATTTTTTTTTTGGGGGGTCTTGCCTAATGGCTGTAACAGCAAGCACAAACTAGAGCGCCAAAAAAGCACGGTGAAAAACGCCAAAAAACACTCCCACCCAACCAAGAGACGCGATGCTTTTTGGCCCTGCTTGAACAAAGTTGTCCCACTTGTCGCGGCCTGCCAGGAGTGAACATTTGCCAAGAATGACCCTACACTTGTCCAAGCTGCAAGAATTCTGGCGCAACTTATACAAAAAACAAAAGCGCACAAGACCTTTTTGTACCAAACATTGGTACTGTGTGTTTGGGCTTTCCAAGTCCAGGGCTTCAAAGAAGGTGGTTGAACACAGAAGATTACTTTTTCCCGAGAGCGTCTGCGAAGGGTTCTTCGTAAAAAAAGATCTGCAGAACTACGTCTCATCTACATCTTCACATCTTCACCTCTGCACATCTACATTCTCACCTACATCTCTGCTCATCTTCACATCTACATTCGCATCTGCACATCTACATCTCGGCTCATCTTCACATCCTCACATCTTCACATCTACATTCACATCTGCTCATCTACATCTCGGCTCATCTTCACATCCTCACATCTACATCTCTGCTCATCTTCATCTTCACATATCTGCATCTCTGCTCATGTTCACATCTGCACATCTACATCTCTGCTCATCTTCACATCCTCACATCATCTCTGCTCATCTTCACATCCTCACATCTACATCTCACATCTGCACCTCTCGCTCTTCTTTACTTTCTCTCTTAAGGCCGGGGGCGGCGCCGCCGGAGCGCCACGAAACGCAACCCTCTGCGGAGATCGCGCGCGTCGAGGGAACGAAATGCAGGCGAGAGCGCGTTTGGACCCGGTCCGGCGCAACCCTCTGCGGAGATCGCACGTGTCGACTTTGTAGTACAACTTTAGTACGCGGAGCAATCTGTGGAGCTGGAAGCTGAGGACTGGCGACTTTGTAGTACAACTTTAGTACCCGGAGTATGTGGAGAGCTGGAAGATGAGAACTGGCGACTTTGTAGTACAACTTTAGTACGCGGAGCAATCTGGGGAGCTGGAAGATGAGAACTGGCGACCTTGCAGTACAACTTGAGTACGCGGAGTATCTGGGGAGCTGGAAGATGAGAACTGGCGACTTTCTAGTACAACTTTTAGTACGCGGAGCAATCTGTGGAGCTGGAAGCTGAGAACTGGCGACTTTGTGGTACAACTTTAGTACGCGGAGTATCTGGGGAGCTGGAAGATGAGAACTGCCGACTTTGTAGTACAACGTTGAGTCATCTCTCGCGGCTGAACCATCTCTCGCGGCTGCACTGGCGCCCCTGCAGCTGAGTCATGTCTCCCGACCACGACCACCCGGCTCTCTTGAGAGGTTGACAAATTTTAGCTACTTTGCTTACTCATAAGTGGCTGCCACAAAAGAGTCATCGTGACGTTAGTATGTGTGTACTTCACCTTCATGACAAACGATGTTCGCTTGGAATACACGAGTCGCTTGTCATGATTATGACGTTGTTTACTCTCAGGTCGCCCTGTTCGTGGAAACTTCTGTGTGAAATGTACGTTCTTCAGTTCTATTTGAACTTCTTCAGCGTTGTACTTGCACAACTAAGGTTGACGTTGCGCTGCCGTTGCATCGACGCATCTACGTCTACGCCCCCTCACCTCTCTACATTTACATCTTCACACGCTCACATCCGCAGATCTACCTCTCCACCTCACCGCACCCACACATCTGCACATCTATATCACATCTGTACATCCAAACTGTCGCTCCTTCACATCTGTCCTGTCTTTCTTTCTTTCTACATATCTTTTCTCGTCTCTGCGCATTTACATCTTCGCACGCTCACATCCACAGATCTACCTCTCCACCTCCATAGATCTACAGATCTATATCGCACCTGCACATCCACTGTCATGGCAAAGAACATGCTGTCTTTGATCTATTGTTGTTCATGGTTGCTCTTACACTCTTACATGTTACAACCTTGCGTTTCCCTGGCGCTTGGGCTAGATCCCTATACCTTTTTGATCCGTCAAATCTGAGCCAGCCAAAATCTGAGCACAAAAAGGACTTGCCCCAACTAGCACTCCTACTCCGTCCTACTTGCCACCCTGCACGCCTTAAGATAACCAAAAAACCGGCGCGCTGCGGTGTGCTGCGCAGGCAATTGAACATTCCACATGCTGCGGTGTGCTGTGCAGGTTGTAGTGCCTAACCCGCGGCCTTTTCAATCTTCAGCTTTGGTCACTAAGCTGTGGCCTTTTCAAGTGGAAAGAGGAAAGGGTTGCTGCCAGGCTTTGGCCCCTGGTGGCCAACTTTGCGCAAGGAAGGCAAGAAAGCAGGGGCAAGGAAGGCAAGGCGCAAGGAAGGCGGTAGGGGTTCTGGTGGCAAACCTGCGGCCTTTTGAAAGAACTTTGCATAAGGGATGCTAGATTGAAATGGTGTTGCGTGGCTTCTAGTGGTTTACTTGACACTGCTGGCTTCTAAAGGAAAACTGGCAGCGTGGAACAGGTGTCCTCTAGAAAAAGAAAGCTGGCACAGGGGGCCAGGCTTAAGGGATACTGAAGCTGAAGGTATGCAGTGTTACTTGTCATCTTCTGAAAGAAAATGGCCGAGGCTGCAGCAGCAAAGGACTGGTGAGGTTTGTGGGTTCCAACTTGCGCAGTCTAACCTGTAGGTTGGTTGAAAGGGTGCAGTAAACGGCTGGCGCGGCTTCTGGTGTCCAACTTGAGAGGTCTAGCCTGCTTGAAAGAAGGCTAGTGGGTGACGGTTGCTGTGAGGTTTCTGGTTTCTCATGGCTTGCCTTTGCCCTTTGAAAAGAAAACTCCTGGAACAAGGGTTGATGTGATGTGAGGACTGTTCAAGACTGTTCAAACAAAACTCCGATGTGTCTCGCTGTCAATCTGCGGCTTTTCCAGAAACCTCGTGCCAGGGACGCAAAGAAGCAATGGGTTGGCATGAGATTTCTGGCGGTCAACCTGTGGCCCTCAACAGAAACTGCCATGGATAAAGCGTCAAAGGGTTGCTGTGAGGCTTCTAGTGGTCAACCTGTGGCCTTTGAAAGAAACCAGCGCCAATGAGAGAGCAGGGTTGCTGTGAGGCTGGGCATGCCCTTTTGAGAAGCTGCTGGGCAGCAAGGCTTGTGGCCTCTAGAGTCTAAACTATAACCTGTTGCTGTTGCCTGCTTTGAAAGAATCAGCCACCAGAAGGTTGAAGTGGAAAGAGTTGCTGTGAAGCCTCTGGCGGCCAACCTCTGGTCTTTTACCCCTGGTCTTCTGGGGCTGGGGACATACTGGCCTTTTGCTGAGCCTGCGGCACCTCTCAACGGCTGTTTTGCTTGTTCTGGTGGCTAACCTGGCTATCCTGCTGCTTCTGGTGGCTGGCCTGGCCAAGCCTGGCCTGGGCAAGGAAAAGAACAAGAAACAATCGGAGGTGTTTTTTGAGAAGATGGAATGTTTACTGGGAGCATCTGCCAGCTCCTGCACTAACACTGAGCACGAAGGGCGCGGACAAAAAGCACGAACTGAGGCACCATTTTTGCACGGAGGGCGCGCGCGAGAAGCACGAACTGAGGCACCAATTTTGCACGGAGGGCGCGCGCAAAAAGCACGAGCTGAGGCACCATTTTTGCACGGAGGGCGCGCGCAAAAAGCACGAACTGAGGCACCATTTTTGCACGGCGGGCGCGCGCAAAAAGCACGAACTGAGGCACCATGTTTGCATGGAGGGCGCGCGCAAAAAGCACGAACTGAGGCACCAATTTTGCACGG